TCTATCTATCTATCTATCTATCTATCTATCTATCTATCTATCTATCTATCTATCTGTCTGTCTGTCTGGCTGTCTATCTAAGAAAGTCACACATGTTACGGGTCTTTCTTTTATGTTTGCACTTTTGGATGTTGAGACTAAAATCAAATCAAATGCATACAAAGGTTCAAGAGACAACCCTCCAGAAAGTTAAATGTAGAGCGTACAATCGGGCTCTCGTACGTCAACAGCTGACACTGGTGTACTGGTGTACTTTTTGTTTTTATTCGCATGCCAGGCCTCACCGCATTTTTAATTGATGTTGATGACATGAAAATGTCATGATGTTTGTTTTAGTAAGGCAGAGCAAAAAAAAAAAGAAGTTAACTAGAGTATTATCACAATAGGATATCCATCGAACAACACCCATAACGACACGGCAAATTAATGGTGAGCACAGCAGCAGCAGCAGCAGCAACAACAACAACATAACAAAAATAGCAGAAGCAGCTGCAACAACTATACCGACTGTAATGCTTCAGCTTAATTCAAAACTATGCCCCGACAGTCGGGAAATAAAACGAAAAAGCATCATATTATCCTTGACAATTGATAACTTTGAAGTGATTTCTATTTTAGGAAAGAGGTAGAGGCAGGAAGTAAGCTCTTTTTCCACTAAATAAACTTTTGCACTCGAGTGTGTCAGGTGACCTCGACCCAAGTCAGTGTACTTCCTGTTGTCACGTGTCATAACCAACGGGTCACACGTCACGTCCGCTCTCCAGAACATACGGACATTCGATCAAGTAGCACAGAAAATGCACTGTCTGCAGTATTTCTACCCTCCTTAATAAGATAATGAAGACGTAACAGCAGAAAAAAACAACACTTCCTCTCCGTCGTTGAACAGGTTCATCAGAGCTTCCTTTTACGCCCTATGGAGTCTTCTTATGAAACAATCTCCCCCCGCCTAAAAAAAAACAAAAACACACGCACACCTCCCCCCTACAAAAACAAAACAATAACC